CCTCCCCTTTTCTTTCCTGATCTCATGGAGGTGGTACCGTTGATGATATCCGGCGCACCACATCGAGGCATCTCCATTTTTTTTATGGTTTTCGCATCTAATGTTCCGGTGACCTTGAGGTGGTAATTGATTTGGTAAGTTTTGATGGCCGACTCCAATTCGTCGTCAAAGTCATCACTGTTGGTATTGCCATTCAAGTAACCAAATTTTTGGAGGTATTTTTTGAGGTCTTGGATGCCTTGAACTTTGTCACCCTTGTGACACCCCTTGAGATGTTCAAGGAACTCATAAGATGATGTTTTTTGGTGGTGGGTTTCTGAGGATTTTGCGTAGGAGAGGAGAGAAAGGAGGATGAAGAGAAAGGTAGTGATTGCGAAGAGAGAAAGAGTCGAAGTTTTTGATGATGCCATTGTATATTTGGGAAATAAATAATTTTGGTTTTGGATATGTTGTGCAAAACCCTCATACTTGGAAGGCTATTTATAGGTGTATAATGAGCAGACTTACACCAACGGTCATGGACGGTGCAACTCTAATTTCCACATTCAGATTGAGAGCTGGGCCTTTCATAGTACATGTATTCTCTTTTGACAATGGCCGGGAAGAAGAAAATTCAGAAGAAAAACTTGAGGTACCTAATTTTCTAGAAAACATTCAGGTTAAGTGTTTGACCGCAAAAATATACCAGAAATAAAGATATTGGGCGTCTAATTAACTAGTATATTGGTAGCAAAATTTTAATATTAAAAAAAAAGAAAAATGGTATATGGAATTTTTTTTTTAATTTGTTGCCTAATAAAAAAACATACTGGGGGAACCAAGGTGGTTGGTGTGGGTGGTTCGGCACTCTCATTCCTTAAGAGAGGTCAGAGGTTCGATCTCTGCTCTTGTACGGATTCACCACTTTGGCTAGCACTTTACCCCTTACGGGCCGACCCGGTGTGAGCGGGGATTAGTCTGGATTGTGGTTAAGGCTTAAAGGTGCCACCCATAGTTAGGGCCCATCCAGGACCACCTCGTGGTTCAGACCAAAAAAAAAATATAGGGGCCCAAATTATAAAAATACCATATATGAAATGGACTTTAGAAACACATCAAAAGCCCATTTACAACATAACAAAGAGGTTTTTAACTTCTTATTAATTACAAAACTGCCATTGATTTCTTAAAACTTGCCCAACCCCAAAAGCTCATAAAAGATTCAAAACACTCAATAGGGCATCAAAGTAATTGAATAATCAAAATTAAATTCAATAGAGCCAGCTATTATTTTTGGGTTTGTTTATAGATTTTAAATGGTGTAGAATTTATTTATATTTATTGGTATTTGACTAAAGGGGGCTTCTCCAATGTGAACTCTAAGATGCGAACTCGTTGCGAACTTTTGTTTTTAACCGTTGGAAGAAGAGCGAAAAGAAAGAAAATAAATCCACACAAGCCATCCAACGGTTAAAAACAAAAGTTCGCAACGAGTTCGCATCTTAGAGTTCGCATTGGAGAAGGCCCCATCCTTCGTCTAAGTATAACTAAAATGCATATGGGTCCATCAACCAAAATTTAAATGGACCCACACGCATTACTAATTTCTTGTGAAGGAGCTGTGCTCAACGAAAGTGTAGGGGCAGTTTTGTAATTTTAAAAAATTCATTTAAAATATTAGGGCCAGAATTGCCTTATATGTTATAGTAAAGCGGTGAGTTGAACTTGTTTCATCGTTCTCTTTGAAATGAACTCAGGGTCCAAACGATAGGTCTCGCAATACTTTTTGGATAATATAATTGAGGTATTTCTTTATTGTTATTTTGTGTTACTGCTTGATTGTCAAATGGATTAAGTTTTAAAACTGCAATGAAGCTAGCAATCTTGTTATTTGCAGTTTGTATCCATGATAAAACTATTTCATTTGTTTACAGAAAGACCTTGG